GCTTCTGCTCATGGGACTTCTCTGCGCGGCATTTCACATGTCCCGGGAGTAAAGGACCCTTCTCTCCTCCTGCCCTCAGCCCCCGACCCCTACCCGATCACTTCACTATGTACGCGTATGTCAAAATATCATGCTGTATGCCTTACATTTTTTAAACAGGAATGGCCACAATGGTTGCTGCACAGTCTGCTCCCTGCATCTCCCCTCACGAGGTAACCTGCCTCCTTCTTTTCTATCCAGAATAATTCATAGTGATGACGCTTGATTGTAACTTGTCCTTTAAATGTGGGGCACTGAGAACCAGGCTCCTTCTACTTTCCAGTGAGAATATTACGAATGAACAAGCATCCCCAAATTCTCATGACATAGATCGAGACTCGAAGGACAGAGAACACCTCACCAATTCCGTCTCCTCCTTGCGTAGATTTGCTCTCCCTATGTAGCTCACGTGGATTATTTTGGGGACACTTAATGGCCCAAATCTGGTAAAACCACGTGCTTTTAGATACCATGTGTCAAAACGACCTTCTTTCCGAATGAAGGAAGAATTGGTACCAGGCAGATTGTTCAGAAGTGTACTCACCTGCGAGTCTGCACCGTGCAAAGATCAATCTAGTACCACTTCCAAACTGGCACTGGGGTCGCCTTGACAGCATTCTGCACGGACGTTTGGTGACTGACCCTCCACCTGGACTCTCGAAGTGGGCGGGCCAGGGAGAGAGGGATGCGGCTATTTCTGAAGTTCCTTCACGTTCTTGGGGCGGGCTCTTTACATCGAGCCGTTGACTCCTGTGCTATCCCGTTTCTTCAGCTGTCTTAGCTCTGTTTCTGGAGTCAGCCAAGAGGACACCCTCTCTCTATTTCCACTTGCATACACTGTGACCTGAACATTTTTCTTTTTCCTGTGCCAACTTTTTACAGGCCCTTTTGTGAAGTTCTACATTCTGGGCAGTGGTGTCAACACTGCAGGTGTCTCACACGGCAGTTGCTAGAATTGCATTAACTTTAACTGAAATAAAATCACTTCTGCAACAGCAGAGACAGAGATGAAAATCAAGCTTCCAGCTTGAAGCAAATGCGTGTCCGCACCCACTCACACGCACGCTGCCCTGGTGTCTATCACGGCTCTGACTTCATGGTCTGTGGGCTGATTTTTGGCTTCCGAAATTTCGCACTGCTGTGGGGAGCTAGCTCATCCTTGAAGATATTTAGCTTTCTTACTTTAATGCTTCAGATAAAACCTGAGCTACCTGGGAGGCTTCCTGTTTATCTCAGTCTCTCCTCAGCACTGTGATTTTTTAAATTAAAACTTTCCATTCAACGGTTCTAGAATTTTTGAAATAACAAGATATGCATAGTATTAAAGATAAGCCATGAAAAATATTAGTTGAAATTTATTTAATCTACCACTGCCTCACTCCTCATGGATTCTGATCGTGAATCGGAAAGAAAAACCCCAATCATGTGCGATCATTTTCCATTTCATCGAGATTTAGGTAGAACCCACTGAGAATGAGGGGTGATTATTTTTAATAATAAGGACAAACGAAATTGGAGGTGTTGCACTTACTAGTTAAGACTCTTCCCTTGATTTAAAAGCAAACATATCCAGGAGTTCTGAACTGTGTTTTCACACACCCAGATTCCAGGATGAAGACCAGCGTTATAACCTAGGGTACCGGCAACGCGACATTTGAAAGAAGCCATGGCAGTGGGGTGACATTTAACTCACTAGTTAGAAGCGTTCATCCCCCGTCTCTCCTGCTCAGAGTTTTGTAGGGTTCCGACCTACACACACCACTTCCTAGGAACACGTCACGAAGACACCGAGTCTTTGTCCTTATTAACAATAATCCCGCCGTGGCCTTGCTTGTAATGAAGGAAAGAGAAACCTCAGCAGAATGTCTCACCTGGACACGTTTTCGTTTAACAGAAAAGATGACTCCACAAGCCGAGAGCGCTGCCGCGGAGGCCCCAGGCTCGGAGGAAGAGCACCAGATGAGGAGGATGATGGCCAAACGGGCAAAGATTATCAGGGAGCTGATCCAGACGGAAAAGGATTATCTCAGTGATCTAGAGCTGTGCATTCGGGAAGTGGTTCAGCCCCTGAGAAACAGACAGGTAAACGCGAATGTGAGGCTGTTTCTATTTTTCAATCTCCCCCTCCCGTGTCCTAGACAGGATCACTAGCACCATGGAGTGGAAGCGCCGGGCGTGTCACGTGTGTTTTTCCTGCACAGCCCGGGGCTCACACGATGTGTCGTCAGACTCATTTTTCTTGTGTCCGTAGAAAGGCGCCTGTGTCCTCCATTGGGCCAGAGAGACTGTATTCTGAAATACGGAGCAACGTAATTCACAGTTTCTGCCGCTTTGAAATTTCAGATGTGTTCTTCCTTGGATTTCCACGGAACTAGTAGCAAAGTCTGAACAGCAGGTTTTCTTTTCAGCAGGCTAGGAACGAAGCACTTAATTTAATTCAGTGATGATCAGGATGTAGAAGAGAAAAATATATGAATATTTCTCCCTTCCACGGAGAGCTCAATTAAACCTGTTTAGCTAAGTACAATTCAATATGGAAATTAAACTGAATTTAAGTAAAAATTTTATCTTTGCTAGGACTGGCCCCAGAAAAAACTTAGAAGTGTTTATAAGTTAATCATTTCCTCCCTTTTAATGAAGGCCTTTTTAGGGGAATTTTTAAATAGACAGTTAGAATAAAGGCACGAGGATGTTGTACACACAAACACATGGCTGTTTCATTTACTGAACACACATTTTATAAGTACCCGATAGGTGATTAGCACTGTTCTCAGCACTGTGGTTACAGTTTAGTACAAAAGAAAGTCCTCCCCTTGTGGGGTTTACTTCCTGGTGCAGGAAGGGAGGAGTCGGACAATAAGCAATAAATACACAAGCAAACGAAATGAAAGCATATTAGACGGTAAGTCCAGCTGAGAAACTAAAGCAGAGGAAAGGAATAGAGTGTGG